CCCCAAAACCCCAAAACCCCAAAACCCCAGGATGCTATTATTATGTAGGAATAAATAATTAAGATGAACTCAGAGTACCGTGTCATCGACGCATTGGATAAGAAGGTAATGTACCGATGGTGCAAAGGGCCATAGGGGAAGAATAGAGGTGTAATTGGGCTTTAGATCGTGATCCAGGAGTTACAAATGACCAAACCTTTTGAATCGCAAGAGAAGGTTGATTTACAAAGAAAAATTGAGATTAAATAATGGGACAAGAAATGGAACTTTAGAAGGTAAAGAAAAAAGAAATTAAAATCAACTCTTTCTTTTATATCATATCACAACTTAAGCCTAATACTGGACCTTATAGACCTTATCTTTCCCATAACAATAATTCTGTTTACATTTTTAATATATTCAAACAAGCTTCTTCAAAATTGTCTCAGATTATTCTAAATTGTTATCATTTCAATAATCCAAATTTATTCAAATTTTCCGAATAGGGATGTCAACTCAACAACAAGAAAGGAACAAAAAATTGTACTATTTCCAAAAGGAGAAAGAGCTCCTGAACACTAAAAAGTCAAGAAAGTACTTACCCCTGCTCATTCTCTAGCCGGAAGAAGTATGAAGAGGTCGATTATATGAAATACGACACGGATCCCAAGAAAATACCAAAGATGATCACTCAGATCACCAATATGTATAAGACCCAGGTTGGCACTCAGGTTACAGACCAGTAATTCACTTTGGGTTTATATTTAGGAAAGAGACCGAACTTATTGAGGAAAAACTAGTCAATAATACAGACTCTAAGTATTGAGAAAGAAGGAACTCACTTTATGAGGAAGGTAGCATAATTCTCATAGGTTTAGAGCAATAAAGATCATACAGAGTATCTCAAGCAATAGAAGTATATCCGAAGCTCCAGATGACCTTTATACAAGCAGGTCTAGGTCGAGGTCAAGGAGTGTTAATAATTATGCCTCTTCTGAAGCAAGGCTACCAGCTAAGGATTTCAGTAAGTCAACAAGTCTTGAATTCAAAAAATTCCCTGGCTTATTGGTCCAAATACAGTTTATGCATCTGAATAAATTCATTTTAGTTGAAAATTTGTAAAAAATGTAGTTCATAATCTTATCTGATGTAGATATGGAATCGATAATTGAAAACTCAGAAAATTCATCTAAATACGACGATGATATCGATAAAATGTCTCTGGAAAAGATAGAGAAAAATGCTCGTAAAAGGCTCTTATCAATCAGAGTTCAGAAGGCAGAATCGATTGTTAATATGCAATCTTTGAGAAGAGTGCATGATTCAAAGCTAAAACTCCAAAAATAAAATGCTTCGCAAAATTGGTAATATTTCAACTCTAAGGCTTTCTATTTCTCTAATTTCCTATCGAAATTGTCTCTTAAGAGTCATCTTGTTATATCTAACCTTGTACTCCATAGCTGATGATATTAGCATGAATAGACTGGAAATCCTTCAGAACATGTTCAGCACAGAACTGAATACTTTCTTTAAGAACTACGATGACCTCCATGAAATATGTATCAGACAGGTCCATAATGAATCAAAGCTGATAAAGGTAAGCCTCAAATTAACACAATAGATTGTTTATGAACAAGAAAAGGTCCTACTCGAGCGTAAAATTATGAACCCATTTGTTAAAGAAGACAACTTTGACTTCAGCGATGTTGTTAAGAAACAACAAGATTTGCTCAAAATGGCTCAGAACAAGAGTACCAAGAAGCTTAATTGCCACGATTCTTGCATAAATCTCCTATCACAGAAGTAAGCAAATATCGGTTATCTCTAGAGAGCATGAATTTGAGACTATGAAGCTTTTCAATCATCAAATGATTGATGAAATAAACTACTATAAGAACCAAATCTCTGAGAAGGATTTACAGCTTAAAGAGCTCAAGTCTTACTATGAAGAACAGCAAAAGCTGAAGGAACTAGGTAAACTTTATGAATTTGAGACTTTAGAAATATCTGCCCTTAAATAAATCTCAATTAATTCAAGTATCACAATTACAAAGTATGAAGCAGTCAATGGACGAGACTGAGAAAATAGATCAAGATTATCTCTCTCAACTAGAAGAGAAGGATAAGTTGATTCAAGACTTGCAAGCTAAATTAAAAGAGCTAGCAGAAAATAATAAATTCGAAATAGAGCCAATACAAGTTATCACTATAGATAAATCGAGTATTGGAACCCAAACAGAAGAAATAGAAAAGAAAGAGAAGCAAGAAATTGTACCAAAAGTTAGCTTATCATTTAAAATTTATTAGAAGCGCAATAAAAGAACTGAAAGAATCAACACAGCATTGTTCGATAAGAAGAAGGAGACCAGAAATAGGCCTATGGTTAATACATGGCAGATAGAGTTCAAGCCGATCGGAAACACGACTGTAATAGACAATTTCACTAAGAATAACCTCTCTCTTACTAGCAATAATGATGCACTAATTAAGGATTGTAAGCCTATTGCGCCGAAGACGACTCAGAACACTCAGAATCCTAAAGAGATTAAGAATCGTAAATAACTTAATCATGAACAGTCTTGAAATTTTACAAAAATAGTAATCTGTTACTAATCTCTAGACATTGAGCAGAAAGATAAAAAGGAAAGGGATAGGAAGCCGAAAGCCAACCATATCATAATCAAGGAGATCCCTAATTCTAACCAAAACCAAGTGGTTATCAAGACAGGAGAGATGACTAAGGAGTTCTCAATGTACAAAGGAATTCTGAAGAATATCAAAGATAACCTTAAATTAATGGACTCTACTAAGAATGTGATGAATAAAAGATCGAATTCCTCAGTTGATAAAACCTGAGCGAGGAATTATTCTAATATTAAAACTAAAAGGAAGAGATGAAACTCTTCAGATGCAACATCCAGTCAGATTGTGAAGAGAATCAGAGTACAAAGCGCGTATCTGACGAAAAAGAATAACTTATTTGGTAGCTCGGGTGAGTATGGGAAACCATATTAAAAACAAACATATTAAGAATAAGAATTATAGCCTGGGGTTTTGGGGTTTTGGGGTTTTGGGGTTTTGGGG